CTGGAGGGTTGCAGGCTGATTTCCAGCAGGGTTATAAACACAGCACGGAGAAAAGGGATGGGGGATCATAGAACACTAGAACTGGAAGGGACCTCGAGAGGCATCAGGTCCAGTCCCCTGCCCTCACAGCAGGACCAAGCACCGTCTAGATCACTGTCTAGAGTTTTGGGGTAGGGGGAGCCTGATGCCAGCTGGGTGCACATGCTGCAGGCTGGGTGTTGTGGGGCACCGAAAACCAACCTGGTAATTCAGTGGGGGGCAGCGGGCAGTTCTGACAGATTCGTGAGTGCCCAGATCTGGCTCAGTGGGACTCACGGTGCCCGCTCGCACTGTGCACTGGATTCCTGCCGTCCCGCCATGTCTCTGCATGGAATAACTACTTATATTGCATGGTACTAGAGTCCAGACCTGAGGTCACTGTCCTGCCAGTCCTTGCCATACGGAATGTACCATCTTAATAGGTAGAGCTGGGAGGGGAAACTGAGGCTCAGAGCATGGCAGGTCAGTAGCAGAGCTGGGAACAGAACCTGCATCCCAGCTCGTTGCCCTGCCGCTGGACCGTGCTGCCTCTGGAGGGCTCAGTAGTGGGTGAGTGTCGCTGCCTGAGCACACCCCTCTCTGCGCTGTGTTCTGGCAGGTGTTCCCAGATGCTCAGCAGCTGCGGCCCATCCAGCTCTTCCCAGCGTCTTTGAGCATTGCCACCCTGCCTCACCAAGCGCTGAGCCGGACCCAGTCCTCGCCTGCCTCCGCGGGCATGAAGAGCCCTGCGGCTGAGCCCCCGGTCAAACACCTCTTCACTACTGGTGAGTAATAGGGATGTTAAGTAGCGATGAATTTGCTGGTCGAGTAGTCGATGGAATTTCCATCAACTAGACGATAAACACTTCCGTGTTCCACCTTTGAAATGTGCAAGAGCCCCAGCAGGCAGAGTAGAAGCGCCTGCATGGAGCCTGGGGTCAGCGGGGGACTCGGAGTCCCGCACTGGCTCCAGGCTCCGTGCTGCGCTTCCTCTTTGACATGCACAAGAGCCCCCACTGGGGACTCTCGTGCATTTCAAAGCTGGCATGCCGCACGGAGCCCAGGGTCAGCTGGGGAGTCCGGGTTCCAAGTGGCACTGCCACTTTGAAATGCTGTGCGGAGCCCTGCGCAGCTGACCCCGGGCTCTGTGCAGCGCTGCCACTTTTACCCTCTTCTTCCCCCCCTTTGCTGCCTCTATCTGATAGGGAGGGCGACTATTCGACTATCCTGTCGCCTGTCTGATAAGCATTTGCTTATCAGATAGTCGACTAGTCCTTCACATCCCTAGTAAGTAATGCGCCCGCTCCTCCCCAGAGATCATGGGTGGGGAAAGGGGAGCTGCCAAATCCATGCCCATAGCTCAAGCTCTGCCGTCACGATGCAGGAGTGGGATGCTATGTAATGTTACTGGCCCTCTCCAAGGGTATTGATCAGCCAGGGAACTGAAGTCATCATTAGACTTCAGAGTGAACACCCGCTGAGCTGAACCAGGCAGCTTGTGCCTTCTTTGGGTGCTTGTCTGCAGGGTCCAGGGCATGGCTCATGCACAGGACAGCTTGTACTGGTTTCTTTTGCAGCCATCAGGTGTAGGCACATGGCTGAAAATGAAGGCGTAAGATTCTGGAGAAGAGTGGGGCAGGGGAAGCCCAGTTCTCTGAGCCTCCCCAAATGATCTAGCTGCCTCAGAAAAGAGACACCCACTTGCTCTATTGCTGACCTAGGACAACCCACCCAGCAGTGAGTCCCAGGGCTTGGAGCGCCTGGCTCTGGCTACGGGGCTGTGCACTTGCACGCGTGGGCCGGAGCTGGGGCTTTGGGAACCTCCCCCATGCAGAGCCCAGGAAGAGCCCAGACATCTGCATTTCATGCAGCCTGAGCCTGCAAGCCTCCGTCAAGGGGTCTACACTGGCACTCACACACTCAGTCTCTGTCTCACACAATCTCTAACACACACAGACATACACACACTGGCACTCACTCATTCAGTCTCTGTCTCACACAATCTCTAACACACACAGACATACACACACTGGCACTCACTCATTCAGTCTCTGTCTCACACAATCTCTAACACACACAGACATACACACACTGGCACTCACTCATTCAGTCTCTGTCTCACACAATCTCTAACACACACAGACATACACACACTGGCACTCACTCATTCAGTCTCTGTCTCACACAATCTCTAACACACACAGACATACACACACTGGCACTCACTCATTCAGTCTCTGTCTCACACAATCTCTAACACACACAGACATACACACACTGGCACTCACTCATTCAGTCTCTGTCTCACACAATCTCTAACACACACAGACATACACACACTGGCACTCACTCATTCAGTCTCTGTCTCACACAATCTCTAACACACACAGACATACACACACTGGCACTCACTCATTCAGTCTCTGTCTCACACAATCTCTAACACACACAGACATACACACACTGGCACTCACTCATTCAGTCTCTGTCTCACACAATCTCTAACACACACAGACATACACACACTGGCACTCACTCATTCAGTCTCTGTCTCACACAATCTCTAACACACACAGACATACACACACTGGCACTCACTCATTCAGTCTCTGTCTCACACAATCTCTAACACACACAGACATACACACACTGGCACTCACTCATTCAGTCTCTGTCTCACACAATCTCTAACACACACAGACATACACACACTGGCACTCACTCATTCAGTCTCTGTCTCACACAATCTCTAACACACACAGACATACACACACTGGCACTCACTCATTCAGTCTCTGTCTCACACAATCTCTAACACACACAGACATACACACACTGGCACTCACTCATTCAGTCTCTGTCTCACACAATCTCTAACACACACAGACATACACACACTGGCACTCACTCATTCAGTCTCTGTCTCACACAATCTCTAACACACACAGACATACACACACTGGCACTCACTCATTCAGTCTCTGTCTCACACAATCTCTAACACACACAGACATACACACACTGGCACTCACTCATTCAGTCTCTGTCTCACACAATCTCTAACACACACAGACATACACACACTGGCACTCACTCATTCAGTCTCTGTCTCACACAATCTCTAACACACACAGACATACACACACTGGCACTCACTCATTCAGTCTCTGTCTCACACAATCTCTAGTACACACACACACACTCACTCTGTCACACACACACTCAGTCTCTGTCTCACACACAATCTCTAATACACACATTCACACACTCTGTCACTCACGCGCTCTGTCTCTCACACACTAGCTCTAACACTGTCTCTAACACACACACACACACAGTCACATGCACTGTCTCTGTCACTCACGCACTGTCTCATTCACACTATCTCACACACACTATCTCTAACACTCACACACACTAACTTGAACACACACACACACACACACACAGTAACACACTCTCACATACACTCTCTGTCATTCTCATACACACTATCTCTAATAAACACTCAGTCATACACTCATACTTTCTCTCTGACTCTCATACTCTCTCACACACACACTCACACACACCTGTCTATGCATTCACCAGCAGAGCAATCTGCCTGAATGCTTTGCTCTGGATCCCGGCTGCCTGAAAGGGGATCTGCACATGCCTCTGGGGAGGAGAGCCGATTTCCGAGCAGAGAGGGTTTGAGGGATTATGGTCCATTTCCGGAAGCCACTCTCAATGTAGCAAACAATTTGCGTGTCCACACTGGCCCCCAGCACTGTACCCAGAGCGCAGCAGACTCTACCTTCTGACCGAGGGGGCTTACCTGGAGTGCAGCAGCTGCAGAGCTAGGGCCACTCAATGCCTTTGCAGTGTGGGCCCTGGGGGCGTGACGTTGCTGGGAGCTGATTTACTGTGCAATCACTTGCCAGGGTAGACTTGGCCTCAGCTGCCCTGGATCAACCTAGTGATGTTAAGGACTCGTTGACTATCTGATAAGCAAATACTTCAAAGTGACAGTGCCACACAGAGCCCAGGGTCAGCTGGGGACGCCGTATGGCACTGCCGCTTTGAAATGCCGTGGCGGCGTTTCGAAGGGGCTGCACCGCACTGAGACTGGGGTCAGCTGGGGAGTACCCAGATGATGCTGGGCTCCATTCGGCGCTGTCGCTTTGAAATGCCGTGGCGGCGTTTCGAAGGGGCTGCACCGCACTGAGACTGGGGTCAGCTGGGGAGTACCCAGATGATGCTGGGCTCCATGAGGCGCTGTCGCTTTGGGTATGTCTACACTACTGAGTTAGTTCGAACTAACGGATGTTAGTTCGAACTAACTTTCATAGGCGCTACACTAGCACTCCATTAGTTCGAATTTAATTCGAACTAACAGAGCGCTTAGTTCGAACTAGGAAAACTTCATTGCACGAGGATTAAGCCTAGTTTGAACTAGCTAGTTCGAATTAAGGGGTGTGTAGCCCCTTAATTCGAACTAGTGGGAGGCTAGCCCTCCCCAGGTTTCCCTGGTGGCCACTCTGGCCAACACCAGGGAAACTCGTATGCCCCCTCCCGGTCCCAAACCCCTTAAAGGGGCACGGGCTGGCTACGGTGCCTGTGCCAGGTGCAAGCCTTCCAGCACCCAGCCAGCAGACCCTGCACCTGGCATGGCTCCAGCCCGCCACCCGATGCCCCCCAGCCCCCCCCCCCTTCCCCGGGCCAGGCTGGCGGGGCCCCCGGGGGTTCC